CTACTGGAAAAACAAAAAGTTAAAAGATTAAAGTTCCAAATACCAGAAGATTTCCGTTGATCTTTTCCACTGCTGCAACTTTGCTTGTTCGAACATGAGAGATCATCTGGATGGGGAGCAGATCCTAAAATGCCATACATTTAATCAAACATCAGATCACGTGGAAGATTATAATGTTGGGAACAACCAGAATGCGATCAGAAAAAATTAAAAATGGATCATATCACTACATGTAAAATTAGTGCATAGCCTTGAGAAGAGAATTTTGTTAGAAGTAAATCACACAGCAAGTGGGAATTAATTTTTGTGTACCCCTTTGCCATACTTAAACTACTATTTTGCAGAGTGGTGAACCGTTAGAAAGAGAAAGGTTTTTGAACATAATAATTGAAAGATTACAGCTCAAATACCAGAAGATTTCTGTTGGTCTTCACTGCCCCTGCAACCCTTTTTGTCTGAATTTAAGAGATCATGTAGGCAAGGACCCAATCCTAAAAATCCAACACGCATAATTACGTATTGGATGAACATGGAAGGTTATAATGGTGTGAACAATCAAGATGCAATATTTTTCTGTCGATCTTTTCTTCACAGAAAAGATCATACAAAACCAATTGTAACACTGAAAGCACAAATGCACCAGGTGAAAAGTATTAGCAGAGTCCGTAACCGTGTGAACATCATAACAAATATCAAATTCATAGTTCTCGAGTTCTGAAAACCAGAAAACTATTAAGAAAAGATCCTTCAGAGGAGGACTTTGCTTAAGTACGCCCATGTTTGCCATTGACACTCAATGCAATGTGAGTACAAATACAGGGACTTCTATCAGGTGACTTTCATTGGGGATAAGACAACTGTCAAGAAGAGAGATTATAATATTTATCATGAGATCCAAAAGAAGATATAATATATGAGGAATCACTTCACTGAACTCTGCTGATAGCCAAGTTTCTGAAGACAGAACTAAACAGGCTGCGCACCACATGAGCTTGATTCTATCAAATGGCCAAGGGAAAAAGAGAGTTCATCTATGCAGTTGGCCAAAAAGTTGACCAAACCAAAGAAACATCCCATCTCTACAAAAATCTAAAGTCATTAACTTTCCTATGCAAAATGAGCATTAAAATCATATCTTCGCCGACAGCAACTACGAGTCATGTTTGGTCATTTTCATTAAGAACAAGAACCGCAAAATTGAAACGCTAACAAAAAGAAAGAAAAAGGGAAGAGAAACAAGACATGCTTCCCATAAATTTATTTGCAGAAAATTTTCGTTGAACAGAAAGATTACCTTGAGAATTCTCGTGCCTGATTGACATCTCCAATCTCCAAAACTGGAAACTGAAATTACATGAATCACTGCTATAATCTCAGCATAGCCAAAGAATAGCTCCTTTTCTGTGTCAAATTACAAGGGCATCAATAAGCAATCGACTGCCCATAAACATAAAATACAAACACCAGATCAACCATTGAAAAAACAATAGGAATCAAGAGGGTTCTTACATGTTGAAAGGAAAAACAGAGGGGGCCTTGATCAGCTTGTTCTCCTGCATCAAACACATTGGCATACGAGAATTACGTTAAAAACAATGAAAACAATAATAGAAAAACATCCTAAAAGCACGAATAATTCGAAAGGGGTTCTTACCAAATAGACAAAGAAACCGGATGCCGATGAAGAATTGGAAAAAAATAAGGTCTTGCCTTGATAGAAGTGGTGGTTGGTGGATTGGTTGAACCAAAAAGATGCAAAATTTGGACAAATAAGAGAGCAAATTTTGGATAATGCAAAAACAGTTGTAATTTACGGGAAGACAACAAAGGAAAGATTCAGAGGATAAAGAGGAAATGATCTGGATATGATTAGAAGAATCTGTAATATAAAGATTGAATATTTTTTGGTCAGTCTCTTCATTTTTTATATTGTTTTACTAACAGAATATAAATGTCAACCACATTCATTTACGAGGATGTTGGAATTTTCTGTTCGCGAGGTTACTTACCAGACAAGACACAAGATACTGGTTCCACGCGTATTCACTTGTTCGTGTATTACACCTTCTTTGTCATTCTTGTTCTTTTATAAAACATTAGATTTCGCTAAAAATAATTCAACGGGGTTTTATTAACCCATAATATTGATGGAGTCAAATGTGCAAGGGAAGGGAGTTACCATATTTTCTATTGGTCATTTAATTTTAGTCCTCGGTGCAGGTTATGATTGCTTGCATGCATTTTAATGGAAAGAATAATACTTATTTTATGAAAATAATTTTATCATGATCAAAATATCCTTGTTATTTTTTTAAATTATTATTATTGTTATTATTATTACTATATTAGATGCTTTGTATAATATTTTTAATTTTTTTTATAAATTTTTATAATTTCATTATTTTTTTTAAAAGGATTTATCTTCAAAACTACTAATACCATGCTTTTACACGAAGCTATCTAATGAAAAAAAAATTCAAAACTAATTTTAGTAAAGGACAACTAATAAATATATTTATCGAGACTCAATACTTATTTAATATTCTTATCCGCCATGGACACACATAATCAAGTGATCAATAAGGATTTATGACTTTTATTAAACAATATGCTTTGCTTGTGTGAATCCAAAGTTTTTCAAATAACTCATAAATAATTAAATAAAAAGAATTTCATATTCTAACATTAAATGTAATTTTTTAAACACAAGACATATTTGCTAATTAAGTTAAAAGTATATTTCATTATCCAAAAGTTCAAAGTCATTAATCTTTGTATAACACATGGTTTTAAATAGATTTATATTTAATTAATTTCATTTCATAGTACAACAAGCCATCTTTATATTAAATAAGGCATTCGACATTTACATTCTTCACGCATTCATTAGTATAAATATTTTCATGTTAATTTGAAAGAGACAAGATATTCTCTCTATTCAACGAGCTTAGACGTTATATTATTTATTAAAAAAACATATTGTTCATCATAAATTATCTCATTAGAACTCCCTCTTTCTTCACATAAATAATCACCATCAAAATCAATCAAGGTTTAGCATATAAATTTGTGCTTGAAAAGAAAATATTTCATTTATGATATTTAATTACTTAAATGGGTTTTTATTTTTCTATGCCTTTCGATAAAAAAAATAAAAAATTTATATGAAATTCAAGATACTTATAGTTCTTATGTAAAAAAGAGGAAAGAATACACAACTAACCCGACAATTCAATTTTTTTAGTTGGGTATGTAATTATTTAAAGGATTTTAACTTTTTTACTTAATATATTAGATGGAATTATCTTTGGCAAAAAAAAAAAAAAAAGAACACAAAATACATAACTAACTTATACAGTGGCGCGTGGCGGAATGCGAGTTGATTTTATATAAATGAGCAGAAAATAGGTTTTAGATCTATGCACGTTGGTTCAGTTTCTGTGGGCCCATTGTTCAGAACTTGTCTTGGACTACCGACACATGATAAGGATGGAACACAGTCATAAATACACCAGGTCGGGCCAAGTCCACTCTCCACACATACATGTTTCTTATTTTTTTACCAAGAAGGAAAGAAGTCAAGGAACTGAATTTGAAGCTTTCAATTTTCATGCCCAAACCTTGTATTTAATTGCTTTCGAAATTGGACTATTAAAAAAAATTCCACATATTGATATTTAAATCTTCCTTTGATTAGATTTTAAGTTAATCGACAGCTAAATATATGTATTAACTTAATCTTGAAATTAATTTTTTTCCTTTAAATATACTTATTTCACAATGAAAATATAATTAATTATATTCGAAATTGAATGATAAAATTTAATTTTTTCAAATAAATACAACTTATGATTCAAATCATGAAATTAAAGTATTTTAGAACTAATTTTTACACCTCTTGAAATTAAATGTGCTGTTTTTGTTAGTTTCAGTGGTACCATTTAAAGCATGACAGGCGTATTTATAAGATAGGGAGATTTCTGATTTTGTAAAGCTGGCAAATTTTTGTAGCAAGAGAAAAGGAGCTAACAAATTTTATAACAGCTATAAAATCATATTCTGCGTGGAAAAACAACTTGTCATTACTTTTGGGCTAAATCAGTCATGGTGAACCGTTGCTTTTAGGCCTGGAAAAAATTTTGCTTCATGAGGCCCAAAGGAAAACATTTTGCTTTTTGAGGCCCAAACAAGCCCAAGAAACCTTTTTAATAGATCGACCTCTCCAGTAGTGGCTGTTGGCATCATAATATATAAAAACAGAGGCATTGACAGTAATTTTATTAAACTTTTTTATCAATTAATTAATGTATGCATTCGTTAAAAAACATTGGTTACATCAAAATTTATCCAATTGGATGGAGTAAATTATAAATTAGTTAGTTTTGAGAAATGAAATATTTAATCCATTTTGTTTTAAAAAATAATTTTCTAATCCTTTAATTAGTATTGAACATACTTGATTTTATACCAATTTATTATAATTTTTTTCTTTTCTTGTTCATCTTTTAGTAATAATTATTTTATTTAAAAAAATTAAAAAAATGTATAAAATAAACAGAAAGATTAAATAACTAATTTTTTGAAACAAAAGGAACTGATTTATTCATCTTTCAAAACCAAAGGGACTAAGTCATAGTTTACCCATTTGATGGGATGGGTATAAAGTGATGAACGGACTGTCGGACGCTGGAATCAGTGAAATAGCAATGGTACTGTTAATTTTTTATGATTGAAATTTTAGAAAAGGTGGGGAAATAAGTTTTCTTCTAATGTAGCAACTCACTTGAGTTTAAATGGTTTATTTGAGATAGATTAATTTTTGTAAAATAAAATAATATTAAATTAATTGTGATTGTAAATAAAATAATTAATTTGTAAAACAAGAAAGACTAATAAATTAATTTCTTAAAAATAAAAGGACTACTTTATAATTTATTCTGACAATAACTCAAATAAAGAAACAACATAGCAATAAATAAAAATAAATAACTAGAGACAGGATGACAACTTTCCTTCCTTACATAAACCCTTCCGTTTCCACTCCAACACTGACACTTGCTCGCTCTTTCCCTCGCCTCTCTCACCAGCACATCCATCACCGCCGCAAAATGTCATCCATGGAATCCCTAATTCTCCAACTCCACGAAATCTCCGCCGTCAAGTTTGGTTCCTTCAAGCTCAAATCCGGCATAACCTCCCCAATCTACATCGACCTCCGCCTCATAATCTCTTACCCCTCCCTCCTCCGGCACATTTCCCAAACCCTAATCACCTCTCTCCCAACCGCCACCACTTTCGACCTTATCTGCGGCGTTCCTTACACCGCTCTCCCAATCGCCACCTCCGTCTCAATCTCGAACGATATCCCCATGTTAATGCGCAGGAAAGAAGTGAAAGATTATGGTACTTCAAAGTCTATCGAGGGAAATTACCAGAAGGACCAGGCTTGTTTGATTATTGAGGATTTGGTTACTAGTGGGACTTCTGTTCTTGAAACGGCTGCGCCTTTGAGGGCGGCGGGGTTGAAGGTGACGGATGCGGTGGTTTTGATTGATAGGGAGCAAGGAGGCAGGGAGAATTTGGAGGAGAACGGGATTAGGTTGCATGCGATTATTAAGTTGAGTGAGATGGTTAGGGTTTTGAGGGAGAAGGGGAAATTGGAAGAGGAAATGGAGAAGGCGGTTTTGAGGTTTTTGGAGGAGAATAAGAAGGTTGCTGTTGTTAAAGGGGTTGAGAAGAGTGTTAGGGTTAAAGGTTTAGGGTTTGAGGAGAGAGCCAAGTTAGCGAAGAATGAAATGGGGAAGAGATTGTTTGAGGTTATGGTTAAAAAGGAGAGTAATTTGTGTGTTGCAGCTGATGTTGGTACTGCTAAGGAATTGCTTGAGCTTGCTGAGAAAGTGAGTGTTTTGTCTTTTGGGGGGTTAGGATAATTTAGTGTAGTGTTTGTTTCTGTTTGGCTGACTTGGTTTTTAACTTTTCCGAGTTTAGGTTGGACCTGAGATATGTTTGTTGAAAACCCATGTTGATATTTTGCCTGATTTCACTCCTGATTTTGGTGCAAAACTGCGCGCGGTATGTCTCTAAATCGTGTGGTATATTTCTGCTGCTTTTTTTTTTTTGGTGTTATAATATAAGTTTCTTGCATTGAGATTGAATTCTTTAGATTCTCTGGAAGCGTTAAAATTCTACTATATGATGTTTTGCCAGTTGATGATTTTGAGGAATCATCATCTTGGATGGCAAACTGATAATTGCGTGCTTTTTAGTGGATCTGTAAATTTCATTATCCGTTTTTAACTGTAACTTAGGTAGCTAAGGGCACTTTTAATTGACTTGTTTGATGACTGTCCTTCAAATGTTTGGTAATTATGAGGAAGAACCTGTTAAAAATTGTTGTTGTTGATCTGTAAATATACAGGGTACAAAATGAGCGCACACAGACATTTTAATTGTTTGACTGCTTGTGGAATTTGGTTTGGTCAGTAATCAGGTAGAAGAAGGATTGATAACATTACTATATGTTCCTTGGATCTCTTGGCAATAGAATGGCATGATCCTCATTGTTTTTATCCTCTTCTTTTTTTTTTTTTTTTTTTTGGTATGAAGTAGTGGTAATTATTTCCAAGTAGCTTAATGTGCTTTTGCATGCTGTAGATTGCAGATAAGTACAATTTCTTAATTTTTGAAGATCGTAAGTTTGCTGACATCGGTAACACAGTGACCATGCAGTATGAAGGGTGAGAATCAGTGTCCATGTGGCTTTTCTGGTTTCCTTTATGTTAATATTCTTACTGCAGCCTGAGGCTTCTTGGCTCTGTTGCTTGCAGGGGTATCTTCCATATATTGGATTGGGCTGATATAGTTAATTGTCACATTATTTCTGGTCCTGGAATTGTTGATGGATTGAAATTGAAGGTATTCTTCTATCTAGCACTGATTTATCTGGAATCATATTAAGGGATTATCCTAACCAATATCTAACTATTGCATACTCTTGAACTCTATTTAGGGGTTGCCTCGTGGGAGGGGCCTCTTGCTGCTTGCAGAAATGAGCTCAGCTGGTAACTTTGCTAAGGGAGATTACACAGCCGCAGCAGTAAAAATTGCTGAAGAACATTCTGATTTTGTGATTGGCTTCATCTCAGTAAATCCAGCCTCATGGCCAGGTCCACCAGTAAATCCAGCATTTATTCAGGCAACCCCTGGAGTTAAAATGGTCACTGGTGGCGATGCCCTTGGCCAGCAGTATAATACCCCATATTCTGTACGTTCAACTCAATGTTCCACTGGTTTTTCTTTTCTTTTTTTCCTTCAAAAGTTGCAGCATTGTTGCATTTTCATTTATTTATGTCTCTTCCATTGGCATGCATCAGTGAAGTATCTAATACATTGGCTTTATTGCAACTTGCTTTAAACTATTACTTAAATGAGAATTGTTACAGCTATAATAATTGTGGGATAAATAATGTTTCAGGTCATCTACGATAGGGGTAGTGATATCATAATCGTGGGACGTGGGATTATAAAGGCAGCAAATCCTGCAGAGGCAGCTCGCGAATACCGTCTTCAAGGATGGGATGCATACTTGGCTAAATGCTCATGAGATTGCATTTAGGTCGAATCCCTTGGATTTAATGCTTTATTGTGGTTTTTGCTCATGACCAGATCAGCCTAGTTTTGATTGAATTTTGGCAATGCGTCTTTTGAGTCATATGAAATCAGATGAGATATGGTTTTCACTTTTCTGTCCCTTCTGGGTTTTTGGTATACATGTGGTTCAGCAACGTGGTTGCAGAGTACATGGCTGTCTTGTGAAACATTTAATGTCTTCCAAGATTAGTTAAAAACTAGTAATATCTTGACAATTCTTGAATGAAAAAGTTTATCAATCATACAAAAACAAAATTCCTTGCTGAAAGGGGAGACTTAGTTTTTATTTATTCTTTTTATTATTATTATTATTATTTTATAAAAGAGAAAATGGTTTTTTTTTTTTTTTTTGGCAAGAATTAAAAAAAAAGTGTCAGTTTGATTTTATTTATTTTTAACCAGCTTGGTCATATTGATTTTTATTCTTAACCAATTGTATGCATTCAAATGGTTGGGATTTTTTATTTGTAAATTCAGGATAATTTCAGAATTTTTTGAAGATGCGCAGAAATGTGAAGTGTCGATTTAGATTTCTAAACGTCAAATGATGCAATAATTCAGGGGAAGGATATTAATTGACCGCCTACCTGACGCTGGGAATGTACGGTGCTCGTCCACTGTCTTACAGGCGAAAAATTCAGAGACGCCATATTAGAGAAATTAACCGACTTTGGATTGTTTAAGATTTAGAGCTTGGAAATTATCGGAGAAATAATAACAAATGGTGTAGATTAGACTTCTTAATTACGCGTTCTTTATCTATTCTGTTCAAACGAGAGGAGAAACAAGGACGGTTTGAAGGAACCTTCCAAGCACTTTCCTTCTGTTGATTAACTCCCTAGCCTTTTTTCACTTGCAAAATCATTTAGGAAAATATTCGTCGGGCTCCTCCGCTGTGACGTAAACTAAACTAATCATATTTATTTCAATTACATTATCTTGTCAGTTAATTAAAATATATTAAATTAAAAAAATAAAATTTTATAGTTTTTAATTAAAATTTTGTATTTAATTTTTGTGTGTTTTTAATAATTTTATAGTTAAAAAAAATGATTTGTTTTTATGTATTTTTTCTTAAATTAAAATTCATAATAATCTAAATATAAAATTTTTAAAAATATTTTAATAATTTTTTTTATATCATTGCATCGAATAAATAAAGTAACAATTAATATAAAAATATCAAATTAATCTCTTTTATTCTTATTTAATACTGATGATAAGATTAATTTTTGAAAATATGTATATTTGATTTGTATATATTTATTACAAAATAATGAATAATATTAGTATGAAAAGTTATATTTGAATTATTAAACGAGTTTTTCTAAAATATTATTTTAATTAATTTATTTGAAAGAGTTTAATTTTAAAATATTTTTAAAAATAATAGGGTATAGTTGGTGTCATGTATGTAGATGTATAGTTAATTTTCAATAAAATCAATAATTTTTTTTTATATATATACATCACGACCATACGCGAGTTAAGCAAAGTGTGCGAGTATAAACCTAAAAATATTTTTTTAAAAAAAATATAAATTGTAAATAATACATTTAAGTTAATAGGCAGTAATAAAAAAAATTACAAAATTAATTTTGATAAAATTTAATTATGTAAAAAATAAGCAAATTAAAAAATTAAAAAAATCATTTGAAAGAAAATAAAATATATTTGTTAACATATAAAATTACATAAAAAGGTATTTTAGAAAAAAAAATTAAAAACTAAAGTGTAATATTTGTCAAAACCTGCATATTAAATACCTAAATATAAGCCCAAAATTACAAAAAATACTATATCAAAGGCATAAATAAAGCTTAAAAATCACAATAATATCATTTCATATACTATATCAAATGCCTAAATAAAGTTTAAAAATCACAATAATACAACTAATACAATAATATTAAATGAAAATGAATAATGCTTATGAATATAGATGAATAATAAATAAATAAATAATAAAATGAATGTAGAAGAATAATAAGTGAATAATAATCACTCTGAATCTCTTGAGTTTTCTTACAATATTTTGCCAGTTATCTTGACTGAGCACTTGCAAAAGTTTGATAGTTGCCATGCCATGATAAAACGCGGAAAGACCCATATAAAGAATTTAACAAACTTGGTTGTCTTCTCCTCGTTCTATGAACAACTGGGTCCGCCTCCGTTGACTGGCCTTGGTCGACTGTTGGGAACTTGCTTGGTTTACCAGGCAGTCCTTGGTCGACAGCCACCTTTTTTCCTCCGTGTGCCGAAAGGATTGCCCGCCCTCACCGACACCACCGCCAAAAAAAAAACAATGCTATTTTGCTTTTAATCTCTCCTTATGAAGATCAACTATTTCAAATTACAAAGGAAATTGAATATTATATAGGTTTGATCTACATCATCAGTCATTATAGGTTTCTTTGTTTTTTCTCTACTTGAATTTCTTTTGCAATATGATGTTATTGTCAACCATAACATTTAAAACTGTTTTCCTAATTTCATTTAATTTTTCCTTTTCCACGTCTATCTAAATTATTTTGTTATATATAACATTTAATATATATATATAATTGTTTTAATAACCTTCCCTAAACAAAATTTGCCACACCAAAGATAAACCCTCAGCCTACATATACCCACAAACCATTTTTTTTTTTTTAACTCAAACCTAAAATTTCTAATAAAACTAGCCTGTTAAGATTTGTTGAGATGTTAAGATTTGTTAAGATTTGAATCCATGACACTTATTGTAAGCTTATAAACCATTTCATGCGGCCAATAACACACTATTTCACGCGGCTAAGAACAGGAAGAGTAAGCTTTTAAGTAGTCAGTGCTAATTAAAAGGCCACCAACGTTCATGGATCTACCAATAATTGTCCATGCATTGCTAAAGTGCAATGTGGCACATCTAAATCTACATAGATAGATACTATAGTTGCAGGGTCATGTCTTTCATGAATGGAAAAGCAAAGAGAGTTTGCCTCCTACGGTTCAAAAAATACATGACCAGAGATCATGGGGGACTACAAGAAGAAACCAATCACTAGGTGTGAAGGTAAACTACAACAGAAAGAAGTTGTGACATAAATCATCATGTCACTGTTCTTTCCATATTCGACCAGTCACCCTAAGCTTCAATTCCTTCCGGTCTCCACCAGAGAAGAAAAGGGCCATGTTGCGTTGGATAATGAGACCGTCAAAACTGTCTCGAACCTTCCGGTGGCTATCCCTTATGCTCCTAGGCACTCCTTGCCATATCATCTTCCTCCCACTTCCACCCACTTCAAGACTGTAACTGTAGTTCTTTGCCTCATTGTCATCCCCCATAAACCGCAGGAATGCTATGTAGACTGGGGCCATCCCAAGCTGGAATGCTTCAAAATGCAGACAAAAATACTGACCAAAGCAGCTAAAAACCTGGAAATCAGGGTGAAAAAAACAGTGAGCAATCATTTACATGTCCACAAGACAGGTTTCAACAAAAGAATCAGACAACAAAAGTATAATTCCAGCAATAAATTAGAATGTCACGTCAGATTTTAAAGTGGGGTAAGACGTACAATGATGCTACGTCCCTTTTAACTTCCAACAAAAGACATTTTCATTCACATGGACCATTAATTGAAAGGTGTCTAGTTTTTTCACAAATATGGCATTTAAAGAGAACTATGCAGATAAATAACTGTGTTTACAAGCATTCAACTAAAAATAAGAAAACCGTCCTTTGCTTAGGATTAGGGGAGCCAAAAAACAGAATAGAAACAAGAATAAAGCAAAACAATACCGTCAGCATCCATGTTGCATTCTCAACTTCATGTGGATTTGATTTGACATATCTGTGGTTGAAAGTACTGCCATTGTGCATGTCAACTTTGTGGTCGTCTTTCAAATGGGCCACTAGATAAGGAATATCACCAATAGCTGTGCATTCTGATCCAGCATATGGGCAGTTATACGGTCTAAAAACACATTGGGATTCATGTTTTAGCTTGCTGTAATAAGGGTATATGCCTATGCATCCAAAACTCTGATATTTACATGGAAGTTCGAGAGATGCAGCGACTTTCTCCAGTGCAAGACATCTAATGTTGCCGAGTTCATGCCTGCAAGTGGGGCATCGGTTTTGAACTCTGGGCTTGCAACTGGAACATAATGTGTGACCATTTGAACACTGCAACAAAAGAGAATACCAATGAAATGACCAACATACAAGATGAAATTCTTAACAGGGGATGGATATCAAAAGGCAGAAGCCTTGTAGGAATTCCAGCAGCATCAAATTTTCATTAAGTTAACAAGAATGGACAAAAAAGGCATAAAACAAACCTGATGAATTGGAGGATACATGGCATTTAAGCACACAGGACACTCCAATAATTCGCGAACACTGCTGGACACAGTCAAGTTAGGTTTCAAAGCTGTCTGAGCAGGATCATTTACACTTTCACTGATATCTGTCATGTCTTCATTTTGAGGAGGATCAATAACCTCAGGCTTATTTCGGATGTCATCGAAAAACAGATTGCTAGATGCCATGGTAGTATGGTCAACCTATGAGAAAAAACAAACAGCTAGTCAATTTCCAACTCCATAAATGTGATCTGACATTACACTCATGCAAAATGACATGAATGAACAAAAGGAGACAAGTTTGACATCTATGCCCTCAATAAATCAATCAAGAGAAAATGCCAAACTCCAGAAGGAGTGTCTTTTTAAAAAAGAAAGAAAACAAAAAAATCATCCTCTTAACTCCCAAAACACACACCAGAAGGAAAAAGTTAAAAAAGAGGAACCTGATCAGTATGTTAAACAAGGGAAGAAAGCCTATTATTTATATGGATGCACCGACATTATAGCTTTTCGAATACCTATCTGAAATGATATTCAATCAGGGAGTCTGATATTGACAAAAACTTTCATTCATGTAAGATACTCAAGACAGTTAGTTATTTCACAGACTGCAACTTACAGAACCAACATATAACAATTTACTCGATTTCATGACATTTATGCCAAACAACCATACCATAGGTGCCTCTGAATCAGTCCAAACTTTTTTTGCACCATAAAAAGCATTTTCATTTTCCCCATATAGCCATCCAATTTAGTTCACAACTTTAACAGTGGATAATTCCTGATTACGGAACATAGACAAATTCATATTTCAATAAATCACACATTGAGATATGGATGACACACGGAGTTAATTGTATTTCAAAATGAATCAAATGAGCAGCAGCTTGTAGACCCTAAAAGCAACGTTTGTTAATTGTAATTGTCCTAACTAAGAAGTCCAATTTATGCAACTTCCTAAGACAAACAAATCATAAAAAGCAAAGCAATTAAGAAAACTGTAAGGAAGACAAAATAACCAGCATGAGGAGAACCAACAAGTTTATGAAGAAACACACAGTATAGTGAACTACTAGTTAGCAATCTCAAATGTATTATGATTGAAATCTTTATATTCTTTTGGTAAGTCAAGATATTCTAAAAACCACAACAACATGAGTGTTCGTATTTAAGTAAATCAAGGTCACTGAGAACATGATCATTGACACATGTCATTGCGAATAGAAAAACAACAACTAGCTTAACAGAAACTATCATACACTTCCACTGACAAGAAACTCTTGAGAGTCTTACCACCAAACCTTGTTCTCTCCTTTGCCTCCTTCCCTTATTTCTTCAAGGTATTGACAATTTATGGCTCCTCAAGCTATCAAAAACATTCAATAAAAAGTCAAATCTTCCTGACCTGACTAAAAGTCACATATAGCATGCAACAATAAAATTGCCCCAATTAACATAGGAAAAATGAGTAATTCATGACAAGAGATGTGCAAGACAAATTATAAAGAAAATTGACCAGATCATCCACTCAAAGTAACCTAAAGAGACCCTATATAAAGAGCACATAAATGGGAACATATATCCCAAAAAAAAATTATAACCTACCCAACCATCATATGATTCATCTACTCAAGCAAATCTAAAGAAACACCATTATAAACCATAAAGAGCAAAGAATTGAGGACGTCAATTCTCACCTTCCCCAATCGAGGAATTTATCCACCAGAACCGAACTAGTCATCATGTGATATAATGTACAACTCAAAAACATGCATTTAAAAGAGGCCACATCAGGGGTGCAATTGCAAATGACAGTCGTTAGCACAATGTGAGACCATAATTTCCTAAGCGCACTCCCAACATCACACACGAAGCAAAAAATCACCGCAACAGAACCATATCCAGCAAAAGATTTGCCAAATAGAGAAACTAAAACTATAAAAGGGAATTGAAAAGAATATTCACTCTGCAAAAACTATACTCAACATAAAAGATCAAGTAAATATAGTATACGTCTCCCCAATACTATACTAAAACATAAGCAGATCAAATAAAACAAAAAGAAGAATCATCGAATGCTAAATAAAAAAAACCAAAACAGCACTCTCATGCAAATCTAAAGCAAAAAATAGATCTAGAATATCCCAAAAAAGGGCACTGAAATCAAAAAAGAAGATAACTTTATGACTCCAAATATCACAAAAACCAAATCAATGAACAAAAAATCCAAAACCCAGATAGGGAATCGAAAAACAAACTCAAAAAACTAGATTAACTAACAAGAAGATGGTACCTTGGCACCGTTTGATTGCAATCAAAACACCACTAAAGAGAGCATTCAAAAACTAAGCAGCAGCCCTTTAAGGAAGAGAGAAAGATAGGGTGGGGAAGACCCTATAAAGGCAATAAATGCACGAAATGCGCGTAAACAACAGATATAGAGATGAAGCGAGAACTTTCAAATTAAAGCCGTTGAGAGAGAGAAAGGAAAGAGAGGGGAGCGCGTAGAGAGGGAGAGATACAAGTGGGTAAGGAGAGAGAAATTTCTCGAGAAAATACAAAAAGGAAAGGTTAAGTTTGCGGGTCCCTTTACACCTGATTGGTGTTTCTTCATCTTTTTATGGTCGTGACTCTCGACAAGTTAAACTTCTTAATTTAGTTTATCTGAAGTTGAGCATGTGTTTAATGAATTCAAACGCTATTAATCTCGTATTAAATTAAAGAGGATGTTACGGATCAAAAAACATGATGTGGTCAAGTCCAAATATTGTTTTAAGATAAAATCCTCTCAAACAATTAGTAATTTAATATTTTAAATTAAAAAAATATAATGAAATACAATGTTCAGTTCAATCTGTTTTTATATTATTTAATAATTCTCTATTTTATTCTTATATTTTTAATTAAATTACTTATATTTTTGAATAAATATTAAGTGTCTAGTTTATTATCTTAACAATATTTTTATGCTAAATTATAGAAATTAATCCCGCTATTTGTGCATGACAATTTTTCATTTAAATGATTTGCAAAGGTATTTTAAAAATAAAAATGAATTATATGAAAATTATATATATATACACACTAAAAGCTTAACGTATATTTAATTATAAAATTAATTAAATCAAAAATATAAAAATAAATTGAGTTATTAACCATAAATATAATTAAAAAGAGCCCCAAAGAAAAACTTAAATATGATGAAATCATTTAGTTTTGATGTAATCTTTAAGAATCTGTTTGAAAACAATTTATACTACGAGGAGATCATTTTTCTTCAATACTTATTTTTTTTATTATAGATAAGAAATTTGAATTCAAAATATTTAAAAAAATAATGGATACCAATGTCAATTAAACTATAACTCATTAATAATTTTTCTTGAATAATTTGATATTGAGATAAGTTGTCTATATTGATTAAATTAGAAAAAATGAATCTGCCCGGGAAATTCTTTAGAGGAGGTAAGATTTGATTTTTGGTGATTTTCAAATGGAAAGGCTTTACGCATACCGTAGATAGAGGGGAGGCAATGGGCCGGAAAAACTGTGAACGGCAATCATAATGTTTCGTGGGCCTACTGTTCAGCGGACAACAAAGCTTCAACGCTTAGTTTGTGCGCGTATCATTTACGCTCTTCGATTTGGAACGAGACATAAATGCCATTAAAGCAGCTAACTCAATTCCTAAGTTTACGATAAACTTCATTTCTATCTCTATAAATTAATTAATGTTCCGACTGTATCTATCTAGTTCTAAATCTTTCAATATTACCCTTGTAATATACAGAGAAATTCATTTATTTAATCTATTGATTTGTCATATATCGTCGGAATAATTAGAATATAAAATTTTAAAACTTAAAAAGGTGGACACGTCATTAAGGTAAAATTGAAATTCTTCAAAACATATAAGGATTATATTGGTAAATTTTAATTAGTGTTCCAATTGCATCTATCTAGTTTTAAATATTTTAACAGTACCCTTGTGATATCTAGAGAATCTCATTTATTTAATCTGTTTCTTATCATTTCTCTTCTTCTTTTTTTCTGATTTATCATATCTTGTCGGAATAATTAGAAATATAAAAATTTTAAAACTTAAAAAGGTGGACTCATCATTAGCCATTTAAGGGTAATATTGAACTTGTTCAAAAAGTATAAGGATTAGATTGATAAATGTTAAATTTATCTTACAAGAATCATGACATAATATGTAAGAACAAACAGACAGGCAGAGTGAAAAAGAAAAGAAAAATACGCCTCATCTTCAACAAAGAAATTCTAAACAGGCAAACAACGTACGTTGCCAGTGTGCTCTTTTGCTGGTGCAACATCACCATAAGACTGGCGTAGAAAATTAGAAGACAAAAAGTGAAAAAAATCATCATAGAATAAACAACCTGCGACATAGTCATATAACTCAGATAGATTTTTTCCTTTTTTTTTAAATGACATAAGTGAGTTCGACAGAAAGATGACAGCTTTTTTAACAAAAATAAAATTGTTATAGAAAAAAACAGAGGAAAGAAAAGAAAGTAAATTATAAATTAGTTCTTCTTATTTTGAAAAATGAATCAATTAGTTTTTTTTATTTAAAAAATTAATTATTTAACACTTTATATTTTAATTTCACCGATAATTTAGTTATTTCATCTATTTTTTGTTGGATTATTAATTCATTTTCTCTAATTATTTTTTTTTTTGATACTTTATTTTTTTTATTTTATCTACTCTCGTCACTCTGCTCGCTTAAAAATAAAAATCACTAATCTAATAAAAAATTGATAAAAGAACTAAGTTATTAAAAAAATTAAAACATAAAAGATAAAATAATTAGGTGCTGTTTGGTAATCGGGAATAGAGTGATGGGAATGGAAATGCGGGAATCGAACGAAAATTAAGAAATCGGAATGGTAATTGTATTCCAATACTATGTTTGGAATACTAATAAGTAATCGGAATGCAATTTAAATTTTTTAATATCTTTTTTTTATACAAATAAAAATAATGATTAAAAAATAATTTTATTAAACTATATGGTTGTAAAAATAATAAAGGTGACAGCGGTGGTAATAGTAGTAATTATTGCCGAAGTGATAATAGTGGTGGTGGTTATGATTGTGATAATGATGGTGGTAGTGGTGGTGGTGGTTGTGACAATGTTATTAGTAGTGGTA